GTCTATTTCCCCCAACTCTATCTGTGTTCATATTTGGACATATGGGGTACTCGTGCCAAGTTTGGTCCAGATTCATCATTGTTTGAGTTCAAAGTGCTCTCTGGATGTAGGAGAACGACAACTCCAAAACTCAAGGTCAATGCCTACCAAACCCTTCTAGTGTTTTCTGTTGGTCATGGGAGTCCTGTGTGCCAAGTTTGGTTCAATTCAATAGCAGGTGGAATTCAGAATGCTCTTTGATTGTAGGTTAATTATAAATCCCAGCAACTACAACTCCCAAAAGACAAAATAATCTTTCTGAGTGATGGTCACTCCTTGAGTTAGTAGTTGTCTTGTGGCCAAATTTGGTGGCAATTCATCCAGCGGATTTTGAGTTATGATGTCACTCAAAACAAACAGAGCATTTTTTATATATAGATATTTCCTCAAAGAGGCAACTATGAAAACCACAAGCAGTTCCCAATTCACTCTTCCTTCTCCCTTCACCACTACACATCCTTCCTCTTCACTCTCCACATCCTAACTGCTTCAAAAAATAGCCGCTGTCTTCTTGCTTCAACTCTGGCTCCAGACATCTTCCTCCATTGAGCTTTTTCCCTCCAATTTTAACAGCCAATCAGGCTGCACCTCTAGCCTTAGAGACTGCCTGATTGGTCCACCCCTCAGCTATGCTTGGCTTCAGCAGGCCTTTTCACACCAACCCTTCAGGGTAGGCCAGTTGGTTACATCAAGCAACTGGCTTTCTCAAGCAACCCATAAAGAAATTGAAGAAATAACACCTTAAATAAAATTTAAAATAAAATCAACTTTTATACTGCAGTAAAATTGTTTCTTTATAATGTAGTAAAACTTAGTTACATTAAGTTAAGTTTGTTTTTATTTCTTTTTAGGTATTGTGTTTCAATATTAATATCACTGCCCCCGGTGGCGCAGTGGGTTAAACCACTGAGCTGCTGAACTTGTTGACCAAAAGGTTGCAGGTTCGAATCCGGGGAGCGGCGAGAGCTTCCGATGTCAGCCCCAGCTTCTGCCAGCCGAGCATTTTGAAAACATGCAAATGTGAGTAGATCAATAGGTACCGCTCTGATGGGAAGGTAATCGGCGCTCCATGCAGTCTTGCCGGCCACATGACCTTGGTCCTCCAGTTACAATTGGTCCTCCAGTTTTGCAGATTCAACTTTTTAAATATTTGATTAATACTTTCTGGGCCTTTCATGGTGATTCTATGATAATCTTTCACCAGAAATTAGCCACAGATTTCCACTGGACGACCCACAGATTCCTAGAAAGATATTCTCTCAGGTAATAAAGGTTTCTTTATTTACAATTTCACATGGGTCCTGTGTTTTTAGATCCTGCAAAAGTAGAGTTTAAGTTGCATTACATGGTCAGTGTAAACTTATATAATGCAGTTCAATGCAGTTAAACTGCACTGTATGAGTCTACACTGTCCATATAATGCAGATTCATCCCTTCATTATTTGGCAGTGAAGATGGGGCCTGTATTACATTTAAATTAATTTATTTTAATTGAAGTTAATAGGATTACAATCAGCTTAAAGCTAAAATCTTCTAGTTTACTAGTGGGTGGTCCATAGCCAGAGATTCAGATAATGTCAGAAAGAGTTAATTCATTAGTATTTTGAGAAGATGAGACAGCATGAAGATTTCGGTCACAGCTTGACACCTGAAGAATGGTGAAATTTTTGAACATGATTGGAAAGCAAATGCTACTTGGATATTTTATTTCTCTTATAGACTTATTTGGAATAGAATCTTCTACACAGATTAGGCTGTAATGTAGTAGTGCTAATCTAATATACTTTTTTCTATTCATAAACCAAAGTAACTTCTGTAACAAGCCATTGTGAACATGTACACAGTGCTTTCCAATAGACTGTAGTTTCTGTAACACCGTGGTCTGAAAAACCATTTCCTGAGAGTTGTCTAAGGGCCACATTACATGGGGGCAATTGAAGTGTCCTAGGACACTATTGCCCTGGTTTGCCCATGGAGCCCCACATCACCCAGGAAATGATTTCCGATATGCAGCTTCCGGTGGGGTTCCATGGGTGAACTTGTGCAGCTGCCACCAATACGGAAACCACCCCATGCTCCATAAGAAACCACAAGGCTTTGGAGCAGCGGTGATGCTTCCCCATGTGGGATGGAAAAGTATCCCCTGTCAGCCAGGGTGCCAGTATTGCCCTGTTGCCACTGCATTGTTGCTATGATTCTCTGCAGAGGTTGGCGAATCACAAAGCTGGAACTCTTCATATGATCAGGTGCTAAATCCAACTGTCTGTTGATTGTGATCGAATACTCCCTGAAGATAATGCAGTGCTGATAAACTTGCTTTGCCCCAGATAGTTGGACCTGTCAGCCGTATACACCTGCAGGCCATGGCAGGAGAGCAGTTGCCTTTTGTCTGTAGCACACCACATATTTTGTAGGAAACCTGAGATAAATAATTCTTAGGATGCATCTACACTTCAGAATTAATTCAGTTTGACACCACTTTAATTGCCATTGCTCAATGTTATGGGATCATGTTGTAAATATTTTGCATAATTTCTCTTTATTTCCATGTTAGGGGTGAGGGAAATTCTGTCAATCATGCTACCCCTTTGCCTACAGTTGTGGTCCTCCAGATGCTTCAGACTCCAACTTCTAGAAGCTCTAGCAAGTTTGTCCTATAGCCAGATATTCTGGGAGTTAAGGCTAAAACATCTGGAGGCCAATAAGTTTGACACCGTTGGCCTGCACAGAAGGCTATAACAATCCCCATTATCTGATTACATAATCATCATTTCACATCAAGATGATATGTGAGAAGGGAACCTCTACAGTTCATTAATTCCTTGGAAAATATCAGCCAAGTGATCTGGTTAGAGACTTGTTTATGGCTATGGGCATAACTGTGAACCACCATAAATCATAATAAAACTATCCATGGATGTAAAGCAAATAATTCAAAAATAAAACAAGGAGGAGGGGAACAGGATTTTGGTTATGATTATGCATGTAGGAGGCCTCGATGGCACAGTGGGTTAAACTGCTGAGCTGCTGAACTTGCTGACTGAAGGGTTCCCGGTTCAAACCTGGGGAGTGGGGTGAGTTCCCGCTGCTATTTATTTATTTTATTTATTTACTGCACTTGTAGACCGCCGTTCTCAGCCCTAGGGCGACTCACAGCGGTGTACAACATGTAAAAACAGGTACAATTTACGACATAAGCAATATCACAACAACATTAAACAACATCACTATCAATAATACAATTACACTAAATCATTCACGACGTCTCATTGTTGAATCACAATCCAAATCTCGTTATCCATGTTCCGTTCCAATCGTCATTGCCAGTTATTGCAGCACTTACTCAAATGCCTTCTCAAACGCCTCGAAAGAGTCCTGAGCTATCCTCAGCTTCCCCCAACCCAGCAGTTCAAAAACATGCAAATGTGAGTAGGTACCACTCTGGTGGGAAGATAACAATGCTCCATGCAGTTATGCTGGCCACATGACCTTGGAGATGTCTACGGACAACACTGGTTCTTCGGCTTAGAAATGGAGATGAGTACCAACCCCCGGAAGTGGACACAACTGGACTTAATGTCAGGAGGAAACCTTTAACTTTACTTATGCATGCAAGGGTTATGGAATCTATGTAATATATATCTATCTGGATATATAATAAAAGTGAAAATATGTTTTTATGTTTGTGGGTATGTATGTATCTACGTTTGTGGATGGCTTCTAAGACAGCTCCCACTTCCAGAGATCCCTGTGACCCACTGATAATGGATTTGCACGAAACCTTGCCCACAGATCCCCCATGACCAACAGAACATGCTGGAGGGGTTGAGGGTTGCTGACCCAGCATGATGGGAACTGCTGTCCACTCACATCCAGAGAATGCTGTGAACCTCACCAACGATGGATCTGGACCAAACTGTCCATATATACCCATCATGGCCAACTTTACATACTGGTAGGGTTTGGGGAGACAATTTCAGAGAATGATAGGAATTGCAGTCTATCTAGATCCAGATAGCCCAGTGAAGTTAACTGAAGATGGAGCTGGGCCAAACTTGTCACACATACCCAACATGACCAACTGTAACTGTTGGCAGTGTTTGGGGAATAGTGCACATAGGATGATAGAGTGATAACTTACCTGTATCCTTTTGTATCTTCTAATGGGAGCATTCATAAAATTAAACAAAGGCTATTTCTAATAAATAGAGTTACAGAATCTTTAACCTGGGCATTGCTGGGTACCAAAGCTAGTTGACAGATAAAAATTAAAATATGTTTATCACGCCTAATCAATGTGGGTGTGGTATTGAGGGTCTGAGAAAAAATATACTCACTTTAGACTGTAAGTAAGAAGAAAGAATGAAAAGGTTTAGAGTTTATCATCAATGCAACTAAGCAATTATCTCATATCCATTTCGATTTTAAATCATTTTTACACTGAAGAAGGCAGAAACAGTAGCTACGTGAGTACTGATGTATATTTCTAATACTAAATATACTAAACAGAAAGCAAATGAAATACAAAACTCTGCTTAATATAGTGCAACCAAACATCTGTGCTCAAGAGATTGGATCTGTTGAATTAAAAAACAATCCAAAAACAAATACAATCTAATTTTGAGAAATTTCAATCAATCAGACCCAAAATGTAATTTGCATATTCCCTTAGTATTACAGATGTGATGAAAACATGTAAACTATGAAATGAGAGAATTCTGGTTTTACATTTAAGCCTTATCATTAGAGAAACCCTCTCTCTTTCTGTCTGTCTCTCACACATGCACTAGACTCACATGAATTAATGCTGTATATCACTGGCCATAATTCTTAACTTTTACGTGGCTGAGTCCCTCTAGTGGCATCAGGATTTGTAGCACTTTCTTTTTTTTTTAGTATTATTTCATTTCTTAAAAGTCAGCAGTGCCAAAGCTAGGTTTTTCCAATGTTCCTGCAAAGACCCCTTCCAATAGGATTTGGTCTTCAATCTTTTCATGATTTTTTTTTACTGGAAGAAGTCATATTGTTTTTCTGACACAGTGGTTCAGAGATGAACTGGATGACAAGGAGAGAAATTGGTTCCCTATGAGCTGCAAATGATTTTCTGAAGGCATGTAAGGACAGATCATCAACGGAGGCATAGTCTTCCACACAAATCACGATGAGTAAGGAGTCAAGGCTACAAAAAACAATATAGATACAAACTGGAGTTTGCTTGAATACATTTTCTCTCTCCTCTTCCTCCTTCTCAACACCATTTCCCTCTCTCCATCTCTGCCTTTCTCCCTCTCACACACATGCACACAGTTGCATAGATACACAATGCACTCTATGGATTTTGGAAGGAAAAAGAAACAGCACATTGACATTGGCACAGAGAAGGCAACCAATGGACATCTAGAGACAACCACTGTAAGTATAATACTTTTTGTTATCATTATTTGCTAAGTAGCATATTTGGGAAGTGATTGAGTTTGCATGGAACAAGAGAAGAAAATACTCATAAACTGGATTGTGTCAAATCACTTTTAAAAATCCAACTGCAGTTTCACCTTTTCTTCTCCTCTTTTTCAGACAAGTGTGTTCATTTCATCCAAGGGGAACTAAAGTTTGAGTGTACATGTTTCTCTTGCTGTGTGTTTGCTCAGTTTGGCTCAATTGGCTACAAAAACTATACAGGAGAAAGACAATGAATCCGGAGAATCTAACCTCTCAGAGCTTCCTTTCAGCAATCCACAATAATACCAGCAACCTCTTCCTGGGGCTTCAGCTTGTCCAGTTCTTCAAACCGCTCATCATCCCTTGTTACTCCCTTGTGGTTTCTGTTGGCATCGTTGGAAATTACCTCCTCATCTACGTTATCTGCAAAACCAAAAAAATGCACAATGTTACTAACTTCCTTGTTGGGAACTTGGCATTTTCAGACATGCTTATGTGTGCCACATGTGTCCCTTTGACCCTGGCATATGCCTTTGAGCCTAGAGGGTGGGTCTATGGGCGCTTCATGTGCTACTTTGTATTCCTCATGCAACCAGTCACAGTATTTGTTTCTGTCTTCACTCTGACTGTCATAGCTGTGGACAGATACCATGCCATGGTTTACCCACTTCGGAGGAGGCTGACCGTACCCGCCTGTGCCTATATTCTGGCTGCTATTTGGTTGCTAAGCTACATTTTAGCTGTCCCAGCCTTGGTCCGCACTTATCACGCAGAATTCCCAGAACTGGACTTTTCTATCTGTGAAGAATTTTGGTTTCATAGGAAGAAGGATCGCTTAGCGTATGCATATAGCACCCTGGTTCTCACATATGTCCTGCCCTTAACAGTAATTTCTGTGTCCTACCTGAGGATTTCTGTAAAGCTGAAGAACAGAATCGTTCCTGGCAATGTCACCCAAAGCCAAGCCGAATGTGACCGAGCCAGAAGGAGGAAGACCTTTCGCTTGCTGGTGTTGGTAGTAGCAGCCTTCGGAGTCTGTTGGTTGCCTCTGCATATCTTTAATATAATAAAGGATATTGATATTAAACTGATCAACAAAGAGTATTTTAACCTCATTCAGCTCCTCTGCCACTGGTTTGCCATGATGTCTGCTTGCACAAATTCCTTTCTGTATGCCTGGCTGCATGATAGTTTTAGAGGGGAGCTGAAGAAAATGTTTGCCTGGAGGAGGAAAAAAACTGGACCAGCCCCCAACTGTATTGTAGCTAGTGTGGTGCTGTAAATGTGGGGGTTTTCCCCCTTGTTGCATTGTTGCCTCTCCTGTGAGGAGTATTAAGTCAGTCTCTTGTGCTATAATTGATATGTGAGTTATCTTAACTGGGGTGAGCTGCTTTCAATGAACCTGTATGATGTGATTTACAGCTGTGTATTCATTTAATGAGAATAAATTCCATGAATGAAGGCAAACTGCACACAATTTCTTACTTTCCACAATATATCTTGAAAATGCTGCTGCTATGTTCCCCACCAACATCCCTCCCAAACTTTCATGAGTTGTTGGCCAGTTATGTCATTGTTCATACTAAGAGATACAATCCATAGTCTTTCAAGTACGCACGTAGTGGACTGAGTTGATTGATATGTATTTGCATTGCCACAGTGTAATTAAAAAAAGATATTTTTCCAAGTTGTGGGTGCAAGGGGGGTGCTCTTGTATGTAATTAAACCTGAATAAGAAGTATCAACACCACTTGCTGAAGCTACTCTTTGTAGGCACTCCGCTGTCAAGTTACAACTATACAGCCAATCCTTGAGTTACGAACAAGATATGTTCTGTATGTTTGAATGTGTATGTAAGTTGGAACGGGTACATTTTATAAGTGTAACTCCAAACCCATTTTTAAAGTTTTGGATATCATAGTGAAGGGTAAACAACCCTTTAAAGTTTGTTTTGCTGTCGGTGTTCCTGTTCAGAATATTTCACTGCACTTTCTGTGCCTGTGACAATTAGATTTTGAAAAGTTGGGGTTGTCTTGAAAATAAGGTAATAAGGTAATAATAAGGTAATAAAGCTTCAGCAGTGGCAGCTTCTCCACATGATAATTCTTATTATTACAAGAGTGAATTTCACTTCCTGATAAAATAGTCAATGGTCAAAACATTTTTGTTTCATTTCTAGAAATTGCAAAGGGGTGGAGGTGCTGCAAGAATTGATTTTCTTGGCAAAACCTTTTTGCACAAAAACAGTTGCATTTTGTACAGAATGAAATGGCCTCTCAACGTTTGCAGGTTTATCTTTTGTGAGTATGATAATTCAGGAATTTGATAAACACAATCTCTCTAGGAATCTCTGGGTCCTCCAGTGTGACTCTATGGTCAACATCTGTCAGATGTTAAATACAGAGTCACATTGGAGGACCTAAGGATGTACCTTTTTCTTACTTTTGTAAAGATCCTGTGCCCCTAATGTGCTGGACTGACTGTCCAATGTTTTATGTGGAAAATCTTGGTTTGCTTAGTATCTCTCTCCATGCATGGCTTCTCTAAATGTTAATCCACACCTGTAACTTCACTCACTAGCTGAAAAACAAAGTGAAAGCAAGTGAATGTTCTATTAGACTTATGCTTCACTATTTTGCTTTCTGTCTATAATACTGCAAAGATAACATTCAGAACATGGTCACTCTGTTGACAATGAAGTCCAGTATATACAGTTCATACATCATCTTTCTCTCAGCAAACTTGCCAGAGGCCACATCCATAAACTGGAGTCAACTTCTGGATATTAATTAGGGCAAATACTACATCTCTCTTCCAGACCCCTTCCAAAAATTTATTTATTTATTTATTTATGACATTTATATGCCTCCCTTCTCACCTCGAAGGGGACTCAGACCGACTTACAAGTTGTATGTAAATACAATATATTATGTTATTAGCATAGCACAATATTAGTACCATATACCCCCATATTGTATTACACCACTATACTGTAATATTATTAGTAATATTACATGTAATATGAAATATATAATTATTATATTGTATTATTAGTAGTATTATTATATTGTATTACATTATAATATTATTATCAATATTATATGTGTATACAATATATTATATTATTAGCACAGCACAATATTAGTATTATATATTACTATATTGTACTATACCACTATACTGTAATATTATTAGTAATATTACATGTAATATTATATATATAATTCTTATAGTGCACTATTATTATATTACATTATAATATTATTATCAATATTATATGTGTATACAATATATTATATTATTAGCACAGCACAGCACTAATATATTAAAACTATAATATATTATATTAATATATAAGCCTTAAAATTAATCTATTGTGTCCAAAAATTATTCCATGTACCTTTGAAGTATTTTTCTTTGAATAATATGTAAATGAGATCGTTATAATGTCTTACATTGTTCTTCCTCCCCTTGCAACTTTCCCTGCTGTCCTTATGCAACTTTTAATCCTGTGATTGCAGCAGAATTGTCAGTGAGCAGCATGAAATGTAATGAATATCAGGAAGAGCAGAAGGAAAGGAGAACAAGAGCAGGCACTCCACAACATCAATGTGTTTCTTCATAATGCAACATCCACAGCCAGGAAGGCATATGGAGTAAGGGATGTGGATGTGCAGACAAGATGAAAGAAAGAAAAAAAGAGAAAAAAAAGAAAGGAGTGGATGAGGGAGTCAAGCTGAGTAAAGGGAGCAAAGACAAAATTAGGTGTAGGAGGAGGTGTTGACAACATG